TTAAGAAACAAAGGATAAAGGCTCAAAGTATATTTGTACCCACCCGCTCTTCGTGATGTTCTCCAACCCTATGTTCAGTTAATTCAACATGAGTGTTCATCTCTCAAAAGGATTTTGTGACGGTCAAGGAAACGACGAGGCTTTCGGAGTAGAAACCACCCTCATGTCTTCGTGTTTGTAGTCACCAATTTGTTCTTTGCTGAGGACTTTTCTTTGCAGTCCTTTTCTTTGCCATTTTTATTTTCCCTAACTTTTGCCTGAACTAATTCTTTTGAATTGATAGTCCAGCGGGATGCCTTAATTTTGCCTAAGTCACACGTTTTCATGTTTTTTGACTTAGCAGGCTTTTTCTTTTTCTCGATTTTTGACTTTTTGAACAAAATGTGTGACATTAGCTTGTATTTGCTTGTTGAGGGGATTGTGATTGCCTCGTTTCTTGATGAATGGGGGATAACATTGTGGTTCCACATCCTCTAGATTCATTATACATGAAGGATAGCCCTTGTAGTTTCTCTTCAAAAAACATCTTCCTTATGAATTTTGAACACTCAGTCAGATTAACTAAAAACTACCCTGCCCCAGGTTAAAATTCAAGGTTTTTTCGTATAGAAAAGAAACTTCTGCTTCAAAGGCTCAAAAGGGGTTAGCAAGGGATTATCTTCCTTATATCTTCGGTGTTTAGGAATTTGAAACAATGCTTGTACATCATCAGCAAGATTTTATCCAAAAGCAAACAACCATAGATTTTGTGTTCTTTAGATCATCATCCTCCCCTCAATCTTTGCCTCGGCAAGAGAATGAGCAACAATTTGGTATCATAGTGCAAAAGCAATTTAAAATTTGAAAACAAATATGAGTGAAACGAATGAATTTCTTCAAGACAAACATACTCATTGTATTAAGATAATCATTCAGATGCAAACAAGTTCTTACATGCAAACAATGTTTTGATAAACAAGAAAAATTACAAAAGCATAAATAAGTTAATAATCTGGGAAGGCTTTCCCTCTGGACTTGAATTACCGAAAACATCCTTCAAAAATCAAAGTCACTATCAATCGTGTTTACTCTTCGGCACGTGCTTGATTTGAACTTCAAAACCAACGTCTTTGAATGACAAGATACCACTTCTGACCAACTTCTGAACCTCAATCTTCAAAGCAAAGCAACCCTCCAAGTCATGCCCAGGAGCACCTTGATGAAAGGTACAAGCCAAATCAGCTTTGTAGTACCAATGTATCTTCTCGGGAACCTTCGGTGGAGGTCGGGTCTGAGCCAAATTCCTCTGCATCAAGATAGGGAACAACTCTGTATAGGTAATTGGAATTGGATCAAACTGGGTTTTCCTCTGATTAGGAACTTGCTGATTCTGTTGATGAATAGGAGAAACATGATAATTCTGACGATGATTATTTCTTCCTTTGGTTCTCTTCTTGGAAGAGTTATTATCAAACTTCTTCACACCATTAGCTGAGCTACCATCTTCATATGAACATCCCTTCCCAACATCTTCTTCTATATGCACTCCCACATTTGCCTTGTCAGGAAAATCATTAGGTGCATTAACCATCACCTTCTCATGAGAGAATGATTTTAGAGTTTCAGTGAATACTTTTATCATCGCTTCCTCCCTTCTAGAAGGATTGACTTGGGCGGCAACCAGAATTTCAACCAAACCAGTTAAGTGCTCCACACTAGCTTTCAAATTAGTCATCTCTCTACGGAGTTCAGAAACCTATTGCTTGATATTCTCCATTGTTTTCTTAGCGCGAGTGTTGTACTGGTGAGACCAAAGGAAAAATAAGACTCGGGAAAAAGACCTTTGACAGTGAAACAAAAAATGTAGAATGATGTATGATATGCAAAAGAGAGTTTTTATTTGATTTTCAAGGAACTCAAGATATTAAGTTGTAAACATCAAAGTATGAAGATAGAAGATGAATTTTAAATTGGCTCCAAACATTGATCAAGTTATCATCAAGATCAATCATCCATTTTGGTGGATTAGGGTTTTCGCCCTATCAACACCCAAGATCCATTAAGCTTGACGAAACTTGTGATGTTTACAAAGAAAGACCTCCAAATTCCTTCAAAGTCAAGTGAAAAGGGTTTTATGGATGCATGAATGCATGGTTATGCAACAACCACAAACAAGGTCACAAATAAAGTCGAAAGGTTCAACGTCACGAGCATGGAGTCAAGGTAAGGAACACCCCCAAGGTATGTACTAACGGTTTAATCACACCTGTAGAACAAGGTTCTAAGAGTTCCCGGAGTCTACATTCCTCCTTCGGATATTACCAACGTCTTGATTACTCAATAATCAGCAATATTCTCAAGAGAAACTCATCCGAGCGTAGCATCGCGTAACAATTACTTCCGGATTGCTCCGTTATAATCTCCGCGCTACACCTAAAAGGCCAAGATGGGTTAGGGTTCTACGGTTCCCAGCTTCTCTGGCTCCCAGGTCGAAAATAATAATGTCTTCCCGATTACTCGGTAAACAAATATTACGTTCAAAAGGGCCTTCCACTGAGTGGGGGATCTCATGCCTCCTTCTTCGGGATTACTCCCTCAAAGTTAACATGACTATACCGCCCGTCCTATTCCTAAGTGTAACTTAGTCCGGGTACAGGACTTGTCCTTTGTAAATATTATCAACACCCAAATAATCATAATATATACATATAATCAAACAATCAAATAATGATAAAACAGATAAAACAAATTAGGCTTAACCCACTTAGGGATGGACCAGCAAGAGGTCAATCTTTCCCCAGCAGAGTCGCCAATTCTGTAGCGGTAAAAATCAGAGATCAAGCTATTAATTAACTTGACTCGCAAAAGCAAGAGTCGCCACCGCGCTTTATTATTTCCAAGGGAAAAGGGAAAAGAGCGAAATAAAACCCTAAAATATGCAATGTAAAATAATAGTTAAAAGTAATAAAAATACAATGCGTTTTTGAAAGAGATCGAGAGTTCGGGGGTTGGTTATACAATGGGAAGGTATTAGCACCCAATGCATCTGCGGTACTCTGCAGGAACCTTTTGAAATATCTGTTTTTTGGTTAAAATTGTTTGTTTGATTAAAATGGTTCGTTTGGCTAAAAATCGGTGTTGGAGAGATTTTGAAGATACGACGACCTAGTGTCGAAGTTTTGACTTAAAAGGTGTGAGTTTAAAAATGGAGTCTTTTGGGAGAATTATCTTAAGTATGGAAAAATAGTAAATAAGCAAAAAAGGGATGAGGGTATTCGCACGATTGTAACAAATATATTTGATGACATGAAGTCAACAAAATTAAAAACATTTCCCTTGGAATTAAAACCACAGACGGATAAATAAGCTAAGAGTATATCAAACCTTAGGTGAAAATAAATCACAAGCCGACAACATCATCAAAAAAAACCTAATGTGAGATAATACTCCAAGCATCAGATAAAGCGCAAAGGCGGTGGATAAAGCTCACGGTGTCAGATAAGAATCCCTGCATCACAAGATATATATCGACAAATCTAACAGCACAGGGAAACTTATGCGCGTCCGCATAATTTTCAGAAGTTAGTTGGAATTAAAATAAAATCACAATGCGATGAAAATAATATTTTTAAGAAAGCTGAATTTATTTACAAGTAAAATATACAGTCAAAATATTATATACAAGTATATATTTACAGTACCAAATATTAAATCAGAATAGTAAAATAAAATAAAAAGGTAAAAGGGAGAAGTGTAAGAGTTATTGATGCACTATGTGAGAATGGATACTTGAAACGATTTTCGAAAAACCTTCACAATAAGCGAACTCGTTAGTAGCATAAGCGGTATAAAAATTAAAATGAATGAAATCGCAACAATTAAAAACTTTGTTAGAAATCACAAAATAAATAAATGGAATGAAATTGTATGAATGCACATGAGTTGAAAATTGCAAATACAGGCTAGTGTCATTGGTTTAGTGTTGTGTTAGTGCACCTATCTGAATCAAACTAACAACAAAACCAACTCAAACACAAGAGTGTTAATATATTAATGCACACTAAAGAACACAAACTGAATTACATCACACTTTTATGCACAAAGGCAAAATTCAAGTAACGTGTCAACGTCGAGTATCAAACAACAAGCATTAGAATGCTGCAATCTCTACCAAATTAACATCAAATATCAACCTATACCAAACCTTAACATCTTCATTTCAAGAAACAACAAATTTAAAGCCCGATTAGCATGTCAATTTACAAGATTCTAGCCTATGTTAATTCTAAGGAGAATTTTAACAAAAAAACTAGGGTGTTAATGTTATAGTTCAGGATCTAGCGTTGAAATCCATGCCAATTCACCTATGCATTATCACAAACACCTAAAGTTCAAATTATATTATAAGTTCTACATACTAAATCTCTATGTAAATATACCAAATCCTAATAATTAGTAATACTAATCTTGAATCAAAAACAACATATTACACCATATGAACAACTAAATGTGTATTTCAATTCAACAATTCTTGATCAATATTCAACATAACAACTTGTAGGAGAAGAGGATATAAAACCTTACCTCAAGATTTGGAGAATTAGAGAATTGAAGAGGTTGAAGGAGGCCGGAGCTGTAGGACGCCAACAGAGGGAGTATCGTTGGAGGCTAGAGCTGTAGGACGCAAATGGAGGGAGTACGTGCCAGCGAGGTGATGATGTTGATGATGTGCAACTGTTGGGATGTTGATTCATGTCGGTTGGCCTGAGGAAGCTGGTGCTGCTGATGGAATCAGGCTCGGGCTTGGACAATCCAGTAGGACATGATAGACTACCAGCAGCTGGAATAGTACGGACAATACATGCTAATAATGACCTTTCATCAAGCAGAGCAGTCTCTGGAACCTTAGAAATGGTTGTTGAAGTTGTCTGCCCAGTAGAGGCCAATGTTTCAGACAAAATAGTATGAGAATTGTTCTGAATCATTTCACCAACAGATGGTACATTTGTAGCAGAACTTCCTTACTCAGTTGATAATATTTGGCTTGCAGGTCCATCATTCGATAGTGTCACTGGATTCTTAATTTCACCATTTGTTTTAAAAGAGTTCAATCTTAAGGCCTCAGAGAACTGTGAAGAAATCTGTTGTAAGCTTTGTTGGGAAGCAATAAGTTGATCTTTATCAACCGATTGTGTCTCCCCAGCGGATGATGAAACCACAGTTTGTACTTCCTCGCCTTGGTGGACATGAGCATCTAAGTATTCTCTAGGAAGTGTTTGCCCATTAACTGAGATTTCATAATTAAACTTTGCATCTGATCTGATCAAATTTTGATCAGCTTGGGATGACGTTGGGTTGTCCTGTATGGACACCTGCAAACCCTCTGAAACAGCCTGTTGATTTTGCCACTGTTGCAGAGGTGACATTGTGGGCATTGGATGAAAATGTCCAACATGAGACTGAGGGACATGTGATGCAACAGAATTGGGCACTCCTTGTTGATGCATAACATATGGATGTAATGCAGTAACTTGACCAGGTGGGAGGTATGAGTGGGGTGGAAGGTTGGCTGAAAATGGTGGTGATGAATTGAAGATGGAGGTGTCGGATGCGGTAGTGGGATTATGTTGCACACAGAAGAGTGGTTGGTGAAAAGGGAAGATCTAACATTGAACAGAGTTTCACGTCGGTTTTCTTTCACCATGTATTAGGGTACACCTATTTACAAAAACCTGAGTTCTGATTCTTTTCTTCTATTTGTTGTTGACAGTGACAGAAGAATGAGTTGCAAAAGGAATTGGCCGAAATCGATGGTGATGCGGCATGGAGAGGAATATGGGTATGTGGTTCGTTTGCTCCGAGGAACAATGCTTCCCCGGGATTGAGTTTTACGTGGTTTAGAAAGAAAGCCGCTATCCGCAAACCAGTATATGTAGACGGGTATTGATTCTCCAACCGCAGCACGAGCAGCTCCTTTTCTGTCAATGACCTCACCTCACTTTCCAGTTGAAGCCGATTTATCAATCTGTTCACTGCTTTGGTTACGATTTCTTTACTAGCTGACATAAGATGAGTGAACACTGCCTGTAGAACAGGTTTAACCTTCTCTTCATCAGTCTGATCACTAGTTTGTAAGACTAGGTCGACATTTGCATCACCAACTAGGTTGACAACTTCGGGAACGTTATGAATCACATCCTTTAGCTCCTCAAGAGTGATAAATCCACAAAGAGCCTCAAAATCTGTCATTGCAAGAGCCATCTCAGGTTTATGATTCCCATCTTTATAGACATCAGGATGAAGTTTATGCAGCCTCCTAGCCAACTCCTTATCAGGGTGAGCTTGTATAGACAACGCCTTTCCCATGGACAACACCATCAGAAACAAGAAAAGAAGGACCTGAATCATGAGTACCAATCCAAAGCTCAACATAAGGTTTCATTGGATCAAATTGAAAACCCAGAATTCAGCTCAGAGAGTTTCGCAACATGAGACAGTTGACCTGGTAACCCCCAATCGTAATTCTTCACAGAACAATGAAGCTTCTGTAGTGAATGATGATTTGAATCTTCCATTGTTTTTTGGATTAGAATGTGGAAATGGGTTTGTTATAGAATGAATGAAAATGAAAACTGAAATTGAAATTGAGACATTGATGGTATTTGAAGAGATGGGTAGAGAGAGAAAGTGTTTTACGGAGAGAAATTAAGGATGATATGAAAATGATGAAAAGAAGAATGAATCAAAACAACAAAATGGGATCGTGCATTTTGTAATGTTGTATCAGAGAGAGAAGAAAAAAAATGAGAAGAGAATAATATAGAAACTTGAAATAGAGTGAGGGAGAGAGAGGGATCATTGAAGAGCTATTTACTGTGATGTTATTTTTTGTTTTTCTTTTTTTTGGTGAACTAGTTTGTGATGTTTTTATTGTGGGACTAGAAAATGAAGATAAAATATTGTTGTTGTTTTTGGTGATTTTGTATCGATCCTCAATTTCATCCAACAGCCAATAGGAATAGAGTATTGTGTGTGTATCGATCCTCAATTTCATCCAACAACCAATGAAAATCAATCATAGTGTAAATAATATTTTTTGTGACCAAATAGCCCTTAAATGATAAAAATAACCAAAAAGACTAAAAATATTAAAATTAACTCCATTTAAAATAATTTTTTGAATCGTTTCTGAATAAAAAATAAAGACCCAACATGACTAAAAACAATAAAAAAATTGAAGAAAATTTATCCGAAAAATTAATATGAACACATTAAAATAAACTACATGTCACAAAGATTAAATAAAAAATATTCAAGAAGTCGAAATCAAAAATAAAATGATAATAAAAATACCGGGCTAAAACAGATGTTTACGGTTAAAAACGAGACTTCAAATTGTATCGAAAAAATGAAGTGAGCATACTGTCATAATCTACGCGAAACGCAGATTCATAAAATGATCGGTAAAAGGTGAAAACTTGAAAGATTTTTCTCACTAATTTTCCGCACAGTGTCGAATCGCTTTTAACAGTTTGTCTATGAAACCAAAATATTTTTATTATCGACATATAAACAACTTGGAGAAACGAGCAAAGAGATAAAAATGCATGAAGTGAAATGTCAGGTATTTTACAACTGAAAGACGATGCAAACTTTGATTTAAACTGACTTTTCCTGGTCAACTTAAATACGACTAATGATGCAAAATGTGATGAATGAAGGTATTTACTAATGATTGCGACCAAATAACAAAATATGGTATGAATGTGCGACTGAAAAAATTAGGGGCGAAATTAAGGGTGCAACGGTGTGCCTTGATGAATCAGTCTTCGAGAATCCACAATCAACCGTACTTCTGGCTTGGGAGACTCAAAACCTTAATTGAGGCGCGACACCTGATGCTCTTGATTCAGACCTGTCTCTGCACATGTCACAAAAGAAAACATGAACATACACCTTTGTATGCGATTAGAAATTAGTGATACATATGCTAAAAATGTTCAAAACACTTGACAACCTTCGCATAGTCAAAGCTCGAAAGTGAGACGTTAAAACCGACCGTATTTCGTGACCTTGACTTATCTTTAAAATGCAAAAATAAAAATGGGATCTTAGGTCAAAAATTGGGGTACAACAGCTGCCCCTATTTAAGTTTCTTCTATCTGGAGATATGAAGATTGGGATCTTCATTTCGACGAGATTGAAGGGACTTAAATATAGAATACACAATTTTTGGCCTTAAGATGCCGCGATTATGTTTAGGATATGATATGAATGTAATATTTTGAATTTTATGGGGAATGACGCCATATGAGACAAACTATGCTGGAGAAACCAAGCATATTATACAGTAATCCCACAGAGGAAGGGGTTGTAACTCCACTGGGGAAACAAAGTCATAGACTTCAAATGAAAGACTCTTGAATGATTTACATTTTTTGAAAACACAAGTGAGCAAGTATCTAAGAGCCCATGGATAACCATGGATAGAAAGGGTGCTAACACCTTCCCTTTCTATAACCTACCTCCCGAACCGAGAGCAATCTCTTTAAGGAATTTTTCTGTGCTTTTGTCCTTTCCATTTGGAGAAAATAAAAGACGGTGGCGACTCTTGCTTCCGCGACATTTCGCGAACCAGCGTTAAACAGTCAGTTCCAGATCCACCGATCACACATACAAACGCGTTGCTTGGTACAGGTGGCAGAGGACACGCTTGGTGAATGTTGGGACCTGGGTTCGATTCCCAGGTCCCCCATATTTCCATATATTTTTCCTTGTAACTTGTTCAGGTACACTCTCTCTTCAAAGGTCTACCATGCAGCTTCACATCCTTGCTTGCCACGCGCCTAACAACTCCAATCCAAAGGCCAGGATGGATATTCCACCATGGACACCAGTCAACACCTCCATACACAAGCCAGAAAAGTCAAAAAGGCCTCCTTCAAATGGGCTCAGTTGCTGCAAATTCACCTCCTCCATTGGGCCAGAACCCCCATCTTGTTTGTATTTTCTCTTCATTCTTTTTTCATTTTTTTTCTTTATTTTAATTCTTCTAATTATTTTATTTAATCCACAAATCAATTTTATAACATAAAAAATATAAAAAACCAAAAAGTCAAAAAATAAAATATGTTTATTATTTAATTCACTAATATTTATTTTATAAATAAATTTAATAATCAATTTAGTTTTAATTTTAGGTTTTTAACTTTAATGCTTTTTTCTTAGACAACTAAAAAATATAAAAAATTAGGGTTTCTAGCATTTTTACTTTTTTCTCAATAATTAAAATTTTCTTCTTATTATTATTAATTACTAATTATCTTGTAAATAAATATGCAATTAATTAATTAGGTTAAATTAGGTCAAACTTAAACATTTTTTTATATAAATTAAAAAATAACTTAGAATTAGGGTTTTTATTTAACTTTTAAATTTCAATTAATTCTCTTTAATTTCATAAATACAAAAAAAAACATAAAAAATAAATTCTTTTTTCTCATTTAATAATTAAATCAATTTTCAATTCCAATTTAATTTCCTTAAAGGGTCCAACGCCCTCGCACTCTCGATTTTTATTTCTTTTCGCATTTATTTTTATTTATTTTATGAATATAATGTGTTTGCCCCAAAGCCTTGTAATAGTTAATTAGGACATTTATTTTCCGCATTTTACTTTCATTCAAATCGGGTCTTGGTTTAATTTGGCGATGTAGACCCGCGCCTTGTAATAACGTAGGACCTTTATTTTCCGCATTTTAATTCCCGCACCTTTTAACTGTTAATAATCACATGGAAGAATGTATGCTCAAATAAAATCAAAGCGTAGAACACCAAATGCATGATCAAGATAAACTATAACTGAAAATGACACACAATTCACACACCACTCCTAGGGTACGCCTCACTGTTGCCTTGCCCCTCGAAACGTGGTCGTCGAGTAGAGGACGTTTTAGTAAGTCCTCATGTCCGTGAACATGGCATGGGGGTAGCTTCTAAGGTGTCTTCCTATTGCTCTGGTGACCACACTGTCCCGAACCCTCGAATTGACCCGAACACCTCCAACGGTGGTACTACCTACCTCTCAATGGTGGGATGGCACTACCTTAAAGACATTTACACAGACTAATTCCTTAGGGTAGGTAGATGACTCGTAGATACTTGCTCTATTCAAAACAATCAAAAACATCTTTTCACACCGACACTTTGCAAAAAGCTTTCAAAAACAACTTTTCAAACACTCTTGAGGACTGATACAAGAGTCGAACTGAAATTTTAAACGGAACTTTTTCAAACCCACTCACCTTGAAAAGCAAACAAACATTTTGAAAACACAAATGAGCAAGTATCTAAGAGCCCATGGATAACCATGGATAGAAAGGGTGCTAACACCTTCCCTTTCTATAAATCTACCTCCCGAACCGAGAACTAATCTCAATAAGGAATTTTTCTGTGCTTTTGTCCTTTCCATTTGGAGAAAATAAAAGACGGTGGCGACTCTTGCTTCCGAGAAATTTCGCGAACCAGCGTTAAACAGTCAGTTCCAGATCCACCGATCACATATATGGATCTGCAGTTTGATACATGCGTGTGTGTAAGAGCATAGCTGAATTGATAAAGTAAAAACAGAAAAGAAAAGAAAAGAAAAGAAAAAAAAATAGAGAGCGTAAAATTTGTATGCAAAGAACGTCCAATGCTTCATTGATGATATATGAAATGACATATAATAACCCTTACAAATAGAAACATTGCGCCTCAGGTAAGACACAAGGCTAAAAAGTTTTAAAAATTGTTCATTACAAGTTCAGAACATAAGTAAGACAATTACTGCAGAATAAAAGAAACTGGAATAAAATCTCCAGTTGTCCAATTATTCGGTCCACCGTTGGTAGTCGGGTAGATCCAACTGTCAATGTCAGGGTCTTCCTCACTGTCTTCAATAGAGTTGACCTCACGATTGCTGATGCGTAGGGGAGGTCCTCCAGCCCGAGCCCTTCGAACATCCCTTTGAGCCTCTGAAGTAAAGCCCAAACCGAATTTGTCAGTTTTGTGAGTAAAATCAGGGAGCCGTCCCCAATTGATACACCCACCTTCCTTAACCACTATTCTGGCGTCCTTGAGAGAAGCCATCTTCAAAGGAAGTTTGGTACTGGTGGTAGTCTTGGTCGACGCCAAAATCTGGGGAACCTCTTCAAAGTTTTGACAAGGGGTCTCTATGAATTCCTCGTCCATCTCCACATACCTGAAGG